TTTTTTTATAGAATTGCAACGTCGTGAAAATGCATCTCGAATCACGTCACAATCAATGCGCCCGTGATCGTCAACGCATTTTTGACTTCGTTGAGATTTGGATTTGGGTCACATCAATGTGCACCCGAATTTAAGAATATGATTTAATTAAACTGTGCCTAAAGAGTCTAATGCGTTACTATTTTTGAGAAGGCCATGAGATTCACTAAACGGCCTAGCCTGAATTGTAAATATTATGATTAGTTATTTATTGAGGGCCCCGTAATTTGCATTTTTATTTGGCGAGGCTCGTCTCATTATTTTAGAAGGGTATTCTAGAGCGACTACATTTCTGTTACGTTTGTCCCTAAAACTAAAGGAAAAGGAACATGCTAGTTTAACTATATGCTTTTGCCTAATCCGGATTCTTATCAATTCCTGATTAATTATTTACAAAGTAGAGAAAACACTACTCTTCAATGGAAAATTGCTTTAGTTTGACAGAAGAAATCCGCTTATTCTAATGAAATACGACACTTAATCCGAACAAACATCTTTAGGTCAAAATTAGATTAACTTGCTTAAACAGGGTTAATAGAATTCCTTATTGAAGAATACTACCGATAACATTCAAAACTAATCCTATAAAGGCCTAAAGAAATCGAAAACCGGGTAGTTCAAAACCACATTATATTTGGCTAGGTTTAATAGCCATTTGCCCTTACTTATTCAATACATGCTGAAAGAGTGAATTTAATTTTTAACAATCACATTAAATAATTTCACATTCCAAGAGTTCTATTTACATTCTGTATGCCACTAAACGAATCGAACACCACAGTTCAAATCAACAAGTACAAGCTTAATAATGTATTCTCTATCAGCTATAAACTACAATTTACATAAACTTAACAACATTTATGAAAAGGCAGTCAGTAAACAGGTGATTATAACTCCTTCAAATCTTTATATTCATGCTTTTTCAATGTTATATTCAGATACACCAATGTGAGACTTGAGATGTGTACCTGGAAACAAACTGAAAATGCCAAAGAGAAGAGG